GGGAGGAGGGGGAGGGAAGAGAGAAAGAGAGAGAGGGAGGGAGAGAGAGGGAGAGAGGGGGAGAGAGAGGGAGAGAGAGAGGGAGAGAGAGGGAGAAAGGGAGAGAGGGGGAGGGAGAGGAGGAGGGAGGGAGGGAGAGGGAACGAAGACCGGTTGCCTTCCCGACGTGCCCGGTGCCCGGTGCACAGGACGTGCCCGTTGCACAGGACTACGCTCAACCAGCCGAGTGGCTCCCGCCTGGCTGAGTCAGTTTCCAACCTCCTCCTGCTCCTCATCAATCCTAAGTAACAGGCGTGAGGTGGGAGGGGAGGCAGGAAGAGATGCTTCTTTGAAATAAGGCTGTTGGGTCAGATGTCTGTATAAATTAAAATTTTACAGTAAAAAGAATAACTCTGCCCCCAGAACAGCAATGTTTTCTCTGAGCCAAAACATTTGCTAGGATAGCTTTTTGGTATCCTCACACTAACACACACAAAATTGCCTGTATTAAAAAAAGAAAATCAGAGTTTGCATTTCTGAAGTACAATGAAGACTTTCCTAGAGAATCATGTTGTAGTGTTGAGTTGCTGTGGTAAGCAGAAAACTGGCTCTCCAAAGATGCCCACACCCTACTGTCTGGAATCTATAAATAGACTACCTTACATGGCAAAGAGACTTTGGCAGATGTGATTTAGGTTATGGAATTTGTGATGGAGATTATCCTGGATTATCTGGGTGGACTCAATCAAATCTTGGGAGTCCTAAAAGCAGAGAACCCTTCCCTGCTGTGGCCAGAGAGAGACAGAGGTGACAACAGAAGGGTCAGAGAGATGCAATGTTGCTAGTGTTGAATACAGAGGAAGGGGACCACTAGCCAAGGAGTGTGTGTGGCCACTAGAAGCTGGACTTGAAAGGCAAGGAAACAGACTCTTCCCTAGAGCCTCCAGAAAGGAACACAACCCTGCCACACCTTGCTTTTAGCCCAGTAAAACCCATTATCAGACTTCTGCTCCACAGAACTACATAATAAATTTATATTGTTTTACACCACCAACCTTGTAGTAATACAGAGAACTAATTCAGTAGCCTATACTCTTTGATGAATAATAAAGAAAATTTCCTCTTGGAGAAAATAATGGCATATTCTGTTAAAAAACAAAATTTGCCTACTAAACTAGTATAATTTAAGGTAAAGGCTTTCCATAAAAATTTGTAAATATATGCTTTAAACCCATTTTAAACCTTTCAGACAATGGTTCAATGTTAAGTGTTGTAAATGGGTGAGTCAACATACCTTGTTCCCATGTCATTCAGCACCCTAGTCCAAAAACAAGTCTGTGATACCAAAAAAAAAAAAAAAAAAAAGCCAGTACAGGTAACCACCCTTACCCATTCCTGTGGATTACTCACTCAATGAATTCCTCTTTACACTGCTTTAGCATCTCACATGTCTGCTGGATCTCTTGCTCACTCAAAAGTACCAACATCCCAATAGTTAGGTGAAGTTTTTTGGGATTCTGGAAAATGGTGCTATCAACTCCATGATCCTGTTATGAAAGGGAGAAAAACAAGAAACTCAGCCCATGCAAAAGTAAATGGTAGGAACCCGGCGGGGTGTGGCTCAGCAGCTGAGCAATGACCTAGGATCCAGGAGATCACCATTCAATCCTCGGTCAGGGCACATGCCCAGGTTGCTGTTGAGGGTATGCAGGAGGCAGCCGAGCAATGACGACTCTCTCATCATTGATGTTTCAATCTCTCTCTCCCTTCCTCTCTGAAGTCAATAAAGATATATTTAAAAAAAAAAAAGTAAATGGTAGGAATAAAATTTAGAGTCCAGAAGAAAACCCACACATTTATATATAACCAAATGATTTCTAACGAGGGTGCCAAGACAATTTACTAGAGAAAGGAGAGTCTCTTCAACAAATGATGCTCGGACAACTGAATATCCATATGCAAGAGAATGAGGTTGAACCCCTACCTCATACTATATGCAGGAATTACATCAAAATGGATCAACGGCATAAATGTAAAAGCTAAAAAAAAAAACTCTTAAGAAGAAAAATAGGGGGAAATCTTCATGACCCTGGACTTGGCAATGGATTCTTAGATGACACCAATAGTAAGGGTGACAAAAGGAAAAAAAATAAATTAGGTTTCATCAAAATTAAAAACTTTTGTGTATCAAAGAACACTATGAAGAAAGTGAAGACAACCTATATAATGGGAGACACACTCGTAAATCATGTCTGATAAGAGTCTAGTATCCATAATATATAAAGAACATCTGCAACTCAACAACTAAAAGATAAAGAGCCCAATCTAAAAAAAAGATAACAGCCCAGCTGGGCGTGGCTCAGTGGTTGAGCATCTATCTAGGATCTAGGCGATCAGGGTTCGATTCCCGGCCACGGCACATGCCCGGGTTGCAGGCTGCAGCCGATCAATGACTCTCTCATCATTGATGTTTCTATCTCTCTCTCCCCCTCTCCTTTCCTCTCTCTGAAATCAATTATATTTAAAAAATAAAAATTAAAAAAAGATAACAAACTTGAGTAGACATTTATCCAAAGAAGAAACACAAATGGCCAATAAGTACATAAATATGTTCAACTTCATTAGTCATTTAGAGGAACAGAAATAACCACTATGGTACCACTCACTATTAGGTACCATTTCACATTAGGCTAGCTACAATTTAAAAAAGTGGAAAATAACACATGCTGGCAAGGATGTGCTCCATGGGTACAGGATTTCCTTGG